TTGTGAGTATTTGGTTGTGTTGTGAGTATTTGGTTGTTTTGTGAGTATTTGATTGTGTTGTTAGTATTTGGTTGTGTTGTGAGTATTTGATTGTGTTGTTTACCAGAGTGTCTCCTTGTGTAGTACTCAGGTGTGTGTAGTCACAGACGATGATGGCGAGCAGATACGTGGACATTCTCTTGGTCGGCTCGAAGGTCGTCCGTGTCACAGAGACTCCGTCGACGGAGGCGTTCACAATGTCTAGAAAGAAAAGTTTAAACAACTGGATGAGAAATAAAAAGATATAATTAGATTCTGGGAAAGAGAATTTATTTAGTTTCTGTGTCTCATTTTTTTATTTTCCCAGATTGAGCTTCAACAAACTTCCGGAGCTTTTCTCGAAATACAACTGCTCCGACACGTGCTGCCTTCACTGACCTCGCTCCATGCCGTTGGACAGGGCCACGGTTCCCGGGGGATGAATGAGTGTGATGTAGAAAACGGCTTTCATCGCTGGCTCGTCGAAACACGGGAAGGTTTTTCTGGCGTGAGTCGGATGCATCTGAGACGTGGCGACGATCCTGTGAAATTCAATTCACAGATTTTAGTTCATCTCACCCAAGAGTCATTTATAGAAAAGCAGAAGTTGAAGAGACGTTACTTTCTGGTTCCGCCCTCTTCGTACTCGCTCCTGTAGAATCCCGTTAGGTCGTCGGCGAGTTCTCCTGTGAACTCAGAGTACAGCTGATACTTCTGTCCTGCAGCTAATTTACTGTTGAGCTGGACGACGAGGTACTGAGTGTCAGTCTGTAACCAGGTCGACTTAATACTGGGAGCGGAGCCACCGCCTGAACCACAAACACATTATAAGAGTTATTCATTAAGATCAAACAGAACCTTCACTGTATGTTCATTCACCAGGGTTCAATTTGATTTTCTAGTCTTGTACATAATCCTTATATATATATATATATATACATATAATAAATATATAATTATATAATCCATGTTCAGTTTGAATATCAATAAACATTATTTGTGTGAATATAAAACAGAATCACAGAAAAAAAACATAAAAAGTTAGGAAAAGTGTGTTTGTGTGTGTGTGTGTGTGTGTGTGTGTGTGTGTGTGTGTGTGTGTACCTGCAGCGGTGACGCTGACAGTGTGTGTGTTGCTCAGCTCGGTGTAGTTGAGTTTGTTGGAGTGAATCAGGATCAGATCTGTTTCTTTCACACACTCAAACTCCACCGTGGATTTTCCTGCAGATGCACAGAAACAATTCAAATTCATCCTGAAAACCAGAAGCTAAGAGACGACATTTGGTTTGAACTGACTGAAAATGGAGAAAACAAGGCGACCGAAGGTTAAAGGTCAAATCAAACAAATATTTTTCAAAATAAAACCAAATCACAGAGAAACAATCTGTAGCTGATGTCGTGTTAAAGTTATTCTTGTCAGGTGATATGACGAAGTCCTGTGAAGTTCAAAACTACATGTTTTCCACACATCTCTAGAAGTGTCATGGGGTTATTATATGAATTATCACATGTTAGAAATAGTTTTTTAAAATCTACAACTAATAATCCGTTTATCTTCATGTTGATCTTTACAGAAACTCAGTGTGATTGAATCTTTTTAAATTGAATCTTTTGTTTGTTCTCTAAAATGCTATTTGATTTTTCCACCAGTGACTCGGAGGCTGGAGAACAGAGCACGAGATGTGTGGTTACAAAACAGGTCTTCACACCTGGACGCACGTGTTGTTATGGGCTTTTATGAATACGACCATAAAAGCACCTGATGTTATATCTGTGCACGTGAGAGTCCAGAGCAGATAAGAGTTCCTCACCTGTGAAAATGTAGAGGTCAGTGTTTGTGTCCCAGCTGAGACGAGGCCACAGGGTGATGTTGTAATATTCAGGGACCAGAGCTCCGGAGAGACGATATCTGAACAAACACAAAGCTGAACTGAATATATATACTACACATATGAGTACTATATCATGTACAAAATAATGCACTTATACGTATTATGTATTCTAATTCTTAAGATTTATAAACTGCTCTGTGTGTTTCAGGTTTGGGTGAAGACATGAATCATTATCGTAAAAGTCATAAATTTACAATCAGGAATATAACAAAGATAATGATAGAATGATAAAGATAAAAATAATAAAATACTAAAAGAGGAGATAAAGATGAAATAAAGTAGAAGTTATAAAATACTAAAAGAGAGCAGACAAAAATAGAATAAACATAAAATAATACATTAAAGGAGATAAAATGAAGATGAAATAAAAGCATTAAAGGAGATAAAGATAAGAAGTCATGTGATGATCTGAAAACAGGCTGAAACATCGTGATTGACAGCTGAGACTCAGCCGCCACTTTACTCCACGACCACACAGGCTCTGACTCCCCATGACGTCAACAGCACAAGATGGCCGCTCCCGTCCCTGAGATGTCTCGGCCTCATTATTCTCAGTGGGAGGAAGTGGAGACGTGTCGTCCGTCCTCACATTCAGTCTTACGATTGGTTCTTGAAGCAAAGGACAAGTGTCCGTCACCTACCTGTCCCAAGGAGCTGCGACATCATCACCCCCGTCCCCCCCCGTCAGGGCAATAACCCACAGCGTGACGATGGTTGCCACGGAGACCACGGCCAAGACCACGCACAGAACGCACAACTTCGAGAGTCGGCAGCTTTTCCCCATGTTCCGACGCACGACTGAGAGGTTTCAGCTCCGGGAGGAGTAGCAGCCGCCGTCTGAAGCTCGTCTGGCTTCTGTGACGTAGAAGTGATTCTTCCTCTTCACTATCTACGACAATAATTTAGAGGCTGTTGACATGTCGGTTATAAAAACCAGTCGGCTGAACGTTCACAGAGGATGTCAAACGTTTTATTGTCTGTGTCTCACGGTGTTCACGGGTCAGAGCTTCAGTTCAGATCCCTCGGAGTCTGAGAGAGTGAGTGTGTGTGTGTTTTAATGTTTGTAGAGCAGATTCCTCTCAGCCTCATGTTTACTGGATGTAACTAAACATTCGTTCCTCTTAAAGGGACAGTGTGAAGAATTCAGTGACATCTAGTGGTGAAGTGTCATGTTGCAGCTGAGCACCCCGCCCCTCCCCCTCTCCTTACAAACATGAACAAGAACCTGTGGAAAACTTTAAATGTCATAAAAACTCAAAAGGTTTTAGTTTGTTCGGTCTGGACTAATGTAAAAAACATGGCGGCCTCCGTAGAGAGGGTCCCCTCCATGGAAATACAAAGTATTTAAATATAAAGTATTTAAATATAAAGAAAACTACAATTCATATCATTTAGATGAAACTGGTGAAAACATCATGAGGATTATTCTACATTAAATTTCTGCCAATAGATCCGTTCACCTGAATCTTACACACTGGACCTTTAAGCCCTTATAAGGACTCATTTTACTTTTCTATTATATAAACTTTTTTTACAACTTTATTGACTTCATAATAAACTGACATCTATACAAAGCTCCGCTATGTTGGGACGTGTTTAAATTTGCAGGCGTACGTTGTAAGTTGTATTATTTTGTCTCTTTGACTTCAGATTTTCTGATATGATTTGTTGTCATTGATTCTAACTGAATAAACTGATTTTAACTGTTTGAAATGAATAATGGCTTTTGTTAATATTTTACTTTATCTTTTCATCAAATTGCTAAATGTTGTGAACTTATTCAGACCAAAGTTTAAAGTTCATTTATGTGTAGGAAGGGGAACAACAAAAAAAGATCTGGCATATTTAGGGGACTGATATTTCTGAGTGTGATGTAGTGGAACTGTATTTACGTTAAGGGACTGTCGGGCCTTCGCTATTCTTATTTTACTTCTTATCACTTTCCTGATCTACTGATGTCGTATCGAGGAGGTTTCATTGATTTTTTTTATGAGCATCTTGAGGAAAATAAGAATATATGTTTAAATCAGAACAATAAATAAAAGAATGTCTTCAATTATAAAATAAATTATTTTGTATTGTGACAAGAAAATAAACATCCACTCTTTAATTTACAGGAAAACAGAAGATAATGTTATTAAATACAGCGCTGACATGAACAAGAGGATTTTTTTTACAAGAACACTCAGACTTTTTGACGTTACACAAAATCTCCAACGGTGAGAAAACTTTTATAAACCAAACTGTAATTCTTTTCATTTCAGTGTATTTAAAACTGCGATTTTAAAAAAAGTATAAAACAAACAACAAAAACATCTTCTCTCCAACTTTAAATATCGAACATCATTTCCGATTTTACTTTTATTTGCTAAGTTATGAAATACACTGAAATTCGACTTTTTTCAGCTGAATTGTGCAAAATCTCCTCTTCCTCCCAGAAAGATTCGACGTGAAACCACATGTGAAGAAAGGGGCGAGTGTACGTCTTCATCAGAGCATCGCCTCGACACTGAACCATTTCAGGACGTTCTCCTTGTTCTCTGCGATCCATTTGATGTTGGCGTTGGTTCTCTCGATGGACTGATCCACTGCCAGGGTGCCGGAGCCGAAACCCACCTCTGAGTTATCGGCCTTGAACTGCTGCAGCTGTGACGACAAACAAAACCGAGACATGAGCATCTGGGAGGCGATTCAGCAGTTTGACGTAGCAACAACACGCACACCCGGGATGAGACGCTGTGGAACGTTTTCCTAAATTAGAATCGTTACCTTCGGATTCATTTATCAAAAGCGGCAGAATAAGATTTCTGTGTTTCTCCCATGTTCTTAGAAGCTGAAAGTTTTTAGTTTTTAGTTTTGTCGGACGAAACTAGAAGATATTTGATGACGTCTCCTTGGACTTTAGTAAAGTGAGCTCAAATTGTTTTAGCCATAATATTTTAACCATCCAAGGTGGACTCACCACAACCTAGGAGATTGTGAAACAACGCTATCTTCTCCTGTAGAGGCCACAAGCCTCTATGATAACAACTGTGATTGACCACGACAACCATGGCGGCTACAATCAGATCATTCACGTTACGACACGACATTAACAACACGGTTCAGTTAGAGAACAAGCAGCTGTAATTCGTTGGCAAGAATCATTTGCAATGGATTATGGGACATGTAGTTCCGTCATTCTTGCAGCTCAAGTTAAAGAGTCAAACGCTTTGTTTCTATTATTCGTCATTCCAGAAAAACTAGTGGATAAAATCAAATATCAAACCTGTTTCAGCTCAAAGTCGGAGGAGAAGCGCTTGGTGACGCCGTTGATGAGGTTTGAGAAGGAGAATGATCCACCACCGTACCTGTGAGGGGAAATAGATTCAATTAAAAAACACTTTTACTACGTTTTGCTTTCAAACTGTTTGTTCTGCTAATTTACAAACTCGTAAAAGAAGCTAAATGACGTGATAGCTCTTCAGACTACAGACTAATCTCGTTAAAAGATACTTTTAATAACTTTAATCGTTTCAGTCGTGACCAAAGGTCGTGCGAGTCTCCGATGATAAGCTGAACTGTAAAACCACAGTAAATCTTTTCATGTGCAGCTGCTTTTCACCTCATGTTACCGAACACTCCATAAAACTGTGTTTACAACCTTTTACTCCCGTTATAAATGTCATGTTCAGGACTAGATGCTGAGCGCCGCTGAATCTCTGTCAATGATAAAACTTTTCTCACGCTTCAATGTGAGGCAGCGACGTTGGAAGATATTGCGTCATACTCACTGACTGAAGATGAACGACCACTGGTCCCTGACAAAGTCCCAGGCCAGAGACTGACCAACCACGTTGTTGGCGATGTAGACGATAGTGGAGGTGGCATCCTGCTTTCGGATCATGTCTGGATCCAGAGTGTACTCAAGGTATCTGAGAGCGATAACACACAACAACAGGAGGAGTTTATATATATAAATATATATATATATATGTGTGTGTGTGTGTGTGTGTGTATAAATGTGTATTTATACTGTGTAAATATTTGTAAGTTGTGGTACAGCTGTGTTTGAGCAGACCTGTTGAGCAGCCAGGGTTGTTTTGTGCAGGACAGAGCTGAGCGCAGTTTTTCAGCTTCACTAGCGATGGTGGCGTTTTTAAATTCTGACCAAGCGAAATCCCACTCTTTAGCGCCACCTGCTGCGATGGCATTGCAGTACACGGTGGAGCGCAGGTTGGGGTGGATCCTGAGGAAGAGATGAAATGTCTCAGTCCCAGAGCAGCACAGATTTATGAGGAGGTTTTACATTGGGATGGTGTTTACACTCACATGTTCTTCTTTGTGTCCATCCATTGTTTGAACCATCCCTTCACCAGGGTTTGACATTCCTCATGACCTGTCCTACAAGCCTGGCTGATCGCATTCACCTGATTGTACCTGAAGGAGACATGAGGAGGACGAGCGTTAGAAGAAGAAAATGTGAAGAGGACGTGTGGGAACAAAGGAAGACGCAATAAGACAATAAAACAGGACGACTGAGTGATCTTTACTCACTGGTCCATGTGTCCAGTCGGTACTTTGGACCAGTTGTCAGTCAGATTCTTGTAGTAATTGAACAGAGGGACGACCTGTTTCCTCAGATAATCCTAAAAAAACAAGGAGAACATTAAGGTTCGGCTCATTAAAGCGACTCAATTAGCTTTGCTTGGTTTTTCATGTCGCACACCTGCATGGGGCCGTAAACCTCGCTGCGGTCAAACATGAGGTAGAAGAAGTTCAGGTTTCCCAGAGCCGAGTCCCAGGGCATGTAGTCTGTCTCTTTGTTCAGGTACCTGGTCGTACTGAGGGCGCGAACTGTCGGGATGATCTTTGCTCTGTGGAGTTTCCAACGAGTGAAAATAAGTTCTGCATTCAACGCTTTAATACGCCGCAGAGATTTACAACAGTGTCTTGATTTGCATACTTGAATACTTGAAAAGTTTCACAGAGAACTAATAAACGATAAGAAACTCAGACACTGACTCCAGAGTTGCACTTTTCCTGAAATGTTTGTCCCATAATATTTTTAAAATAAATGTGTATCTTCATTATTTAAAAGAAACAATTGAAAATAAATGACTAATATTAGTTGTTAAAGATATTACTAAAGGATTTTGCTCACAGGATCAACTTTAACAAAGTATTTTTCCTTTATTTAAGGGAACAAGTTAAAAATCATCTATCATCATCTGTACAATACAACATTGCATCAGCTGGACTCACCTGGCCAGGTTGAAAGCATCATCCACCAGCTGAGCTCTGTTGATTACTTCAATAAGCTGGAAAAACAACAGCAATGTCTCTGTTAGTTCTCTTGAAAGGAATCCAGGGTTAATCCTAAGAGTCATTAGGGAACATGTTGGTATGAAGGCATCGGTCAGACGTGTCTTACCGAATGATTGGTGCTCAGAACATTGAGCAGTTTGTCCCAGTTGCTGTCGTCATAGTTGACTCTGTAGTAACCCACGACGTTGATGTTGGCCAGCACCCAGTCGCTTCCTGTTGTCTTCATCGATTCATTAGTTGCTACAGACGACAAGAAGGTCGGCGTTAGAGCGAAACAGTGGGGAACTTGCTCTCATGCGGTTTGATATATACTGATATATGATGTAAACTGTAAATTCATTTGACTTATAATTGATTGCTGAAAAGGCAAACCACAAAAAAAAACTTGTGCTTGCTATCAAAGAATACTGCCTATAAATTAATTGGACTTTTCAAAATCCCCAAATTGTTGTTGTTGTTGACGTCTGTATATCGTACCTGATTTTTGCGTCAGCCAGTAAGGTACCTGGGGTGCTCCAGTCTTAGTCCACTTGATGGGAACAATCCATTCGTAACTGCAGGTGAAACAAATACATGAGTCAGTTTTTGTTGAACAAGAAAATGGAGAATTCATCGGCTGTATTACGGTGCATTATTTTCGAATTAGCACATTGTGACTTTATCGGTCTTATGAGAGGGAGCAAGGAAAGAAAGTGTTTACTTGAAGGGAGACAGAGCTGTGACGTTAGAGTCTGGATCCAGGAGAAAGTGTTTCTGGGAAATGTCCCCAGTGGTGGTGTTTATTGTGACCACAGGGAATCCCATCTGCAGCACCCAGGTGTTCATGATGTCATGGACACTTCCAGGCAGGTCAGTGCCACTGGCGTTAACGGCCTGTGGAAGCAGGAACCAGAGGAAATCGATCAGTAACAGCTCACAGTAGGTTTGACTATTCGAAATGTAAAGAATGTAGAGGAGAAGAACATGCCATTTGCAAATGTTCCCACAGGTCGGTGTAAACTGCATTCCCAAATGCAAATTTTTTCAGGTAGGTCTGCAAGAGAAAACAAACAGAGGTTATTTAACTTTGCAGGGTTTCACTTTAATTCATTCGTTAATTTCAACTCTTAGTTCGTCTCTGCCAGAGTTTTGTGTTTCTTTATCTGTTCTGGCACCGAAACCATTTTAAAAGTATTTGAAAAAACTGAAACTAAACTCAATCCTAATGAACACAATCTCATGCATGAAGAAGATCCACCTTCCATTGCAGAAATTCTTCTTAGAGTGATCAGATGCAATGTCAAACAGAGAATACATTTTCAATGAGGTCCTTACCCTGAGTCCCATTACAAAGATTTCTTCGGTGAGGAAGTCCGACAACATTCTCAGAACAGAAGCTCCCTGAGGAACGACACATGTTCAGGTGAGCGATCTGTGTTCAAGCAACTTTGTGACAAATCAATCAAGTCATTCAGACAATCAATAGTTCTATAGGACAGAAATATAAAATCTAACCTGGGTTGACTGATGTTAGGAATGGAAATGATACGGGAGTGGGACAAAAACAATGTCCTCACAATGTAAATGATTGAAACTCATGAAGTGAGAACTTGGTTTAGGACAAGGGGTCACTAAAGTAAACTCTCCAGGAAGTTAATCTGATTCAGTGTAATATCTGTTGAGTGTGACGCCACCTTGCTGTATGAGATGGCATCAAACAGCTCGCTGATCTGCTCTGGTCTCTGGATGTCGTCCTCCTTAGACGACAGCGGGTGAGAGGAGGCCAGAGCATCGACGGCAAACACCCTGTGGACATCGTTGAGCACGATGAGGTCTTTCTGTTGTGGGGCAAATTAGACAAAAGGCTGAAAACGCCACCGGACACCAGCTCCAGAATTCTCCATCAGACTGTTTAGATCAGTCCATTGGGTGAGAGGGGAAATACTCACTATATTCCAGTCCGGTTCAGCCTCGTTCGCTCCCAGGTACTCAACATAAGATGCAAAGCCTTCATTCAGCCACAGGTCGTTCCACCACCGCAGGGTCACCAGATTACCGAACCACTTTAAAGAGAGCACAGAGAAAAATGTGTCAATGCCGTGACAAGGAAAATTCACATGAATGAAACAGAAACATCAGGAATGCAGACATGGTTCGAATAGCTGCTTCAATATTGAATATTTTTTAATTGAGACATGAAGCAAAATGCATCCAAGACTTCTCGACTTCTGTTTCAGTGTTTCCGTGCTCTCCAGTGGTGTTCCTCAGGGTTTTGTCCTGGGCCCTATACTATTTTTTTTTTTACCTCAGCCTAGGAGATCGTATTTCCATTTTGTCTGTGCGATAGTTCAACAGAATTATGTAAAATATATTGGACAGATTACCACAAAACCTGGAAGGTGGAAGGATGTGCAGCGACAGAATGAATTCATGTGAACGCACACAAACAGAGAGACAGATACACAACCAAAAGAATGAAAGACGAGTTCTCATGTGAGAGAGAGAGAGAGAGAACTGCATTGATGAAACTATGAGGTCTGACTCTGCATGGATGGTAAAAACTTTATGGACCATAGCACCAGCGAACGCGGCAAATAGCGCTGGGCACAGCTAACCAATGCAGCAATGGAGCAAACCATCATTCGTTATGAAACTGGAGCCGGACAAATTACAAGATGGCGCCGCCACAGTCTCAATAATGAAGACATGGAGAGATTGGACATTATCCTTGGTTACATCATTAAACATTAAAAACGAACCATGTGAGCCAGTTCATGAGAGATGATGGTAGCAATCCTCTCCTTGTTGGAGTTGGAGGAGAATGTTTCGTCGTAGAGCAGCGCTGTCTCTCTGTACGTGATCAGACCCCAGTTCTCCATGGCTCCAGCGTTAAAGTCGGGCAGAGCGATCTGATCTGTGTTGGGAAAGAGATCATTCGTGGTTCATGAGCCTCTGGAGTTCCTCAACCTGTGAGTCCTAACTGCATGAGCGTTGAAACATGATACGAGGATTGACCAGAGAATAGAATGAGCTGAAGCTGACTGATTACGGAGCTTCTCTCAAACTGACTCACCAGATTTGGGCAGAGGGTAGCTGGAATTGTAATATTTCTCAAAGAACTTAAGGATGGGTCCAGTTTTGCTGAGGGCGTACGCTCCTTGCCCTGCATCGATAGCAGGCTTCCGGGCGAAGATACGGATCTGAGCAGACAATGAAACACATTAAGAACATTCATTTCTGTTGAATATTCATTCATAGAAACCAGTGAACCTTTGTGGTTTTAGATGATACCAGCTGTTTACCGCTATTAAAGTGAGAATACGCAACTTTAATTAAATCTAACGCATTTTTAAAATGATTCTGTTTGTAGAATAATAGTGAGAAACGTTCAAATCAGACACCTAGAGGCCTTAACGTGCATTGCAACATTACATCGTAAATATTCCTACATGTCCCCAAACTACGTTTTAAATACAGCGATGTCATTGTCAGTGTAGTTTTACCTGAACGGTGAATGACGATGTTGTTTGTATCGTTAAACGGTGCGTGACTCAGCGCTCTTAATTAACAGAGCTCTTCAATGTTTTTAATTGAGGGAGGACTATTCTACGAGATGAACAAAAAACATCAGAGATTTTGAAAATAATGTTGTAAGAGCATGAAACTAAAGTCGTAATTGAGAAGAGAGTCGTAGAATAATGAGAATAAAGTTGTAGTTGTTGTAATCACAAAATAAGTTTGTCAGTAATAGAAACTGTCAGTTCAGAAAAAAGGGACAACAGCGTTGTTGCTGCTTCCTGTAAATACAAACTGAATTCGTGACAGAGGGGCGTGTCTTTGTGCGCTCACTCACCGAAACATCATCAACAGTGTTGTTGATGAAGGTGAACTCGCTGACGATGAAGGCCAGCAGGTAGGTGGACATTTTCTCCGTCGGCTCAAAAACTGTCTGCTGCAGATTCTTGCCGTGAATGTTGACGCTGCTTGATTCTGTAGAAGAAGACGATCATTATTATTTGATTTGTTAATATTTATCCTCCTCATTCGTTCAATATGTCCTGGACGGTGAATATAAACCTGTAATTGTGGCGCAACAAACCTTTTTCTGCACCGTTGGACAAGGCAACAGTTCCATGGTCGTGGATCAGAGTGATGTAGAAAACAGCTTTCATAGCCGGCTCGTCAAAACAGGGGAAAGCCTTCCTGGCGTCTGTCGGCTGCATCTGAGTGGTCGCAACAACCCTGGCAGGGAAAAAACAAAAGAGGCTTTGTGTTTGAAAAACAGCTCGACGTTTTAAAATGCTTGTAAGGAGGTTTGCCAGGAGCAAGATGATTAAATGAATTTAATCAATCATTTTTCATCTCTGATGGGTCCGGGACTTCTTTAACCTGGATCAATGCAAAGACTAGAAAGTTCAACTTTATCAAAACAAGGGATTTGTGCAAACAAGGGCGTCGGTTTTTTTCCACATCTGCACATTTTGAGAAAAAATACCAATGTTACAATGCACCTGAAATAAATCCAGGTAAGGTGGGGGCGACCTGATTAGACAGAAAGTGTGAATTCATTTTGGAGTTCAGAGGTTGTTTTCTAAAGCTCGCACAGAGACTAAAGTGATTAGATTAGACATCACCTGTCACTCTACATAAACTCCTTCACAACAGAAAGCAAGGGACCAAAGTGAGTCTTTTGAAACCCTCTGGATTCACATTTGCTCCAGTTGCTTTGACATTATCTGACACATGAAGTGCACGTACTTGCGCTCGCCATTCTCCATGTATTCACTCCTGTAGAAGCCTCCCAGGTCATCAGCCAGCTCTCCGGTGAAGTTGGTGTACAGGTGGTAGCTGTGGTCCTTCATTAGTTTACCATCCAGCTGCAGGACCAGGTACTGAGTCGTGTGCTGCAGCCGCGAAGACTTGATCGCCGGGGCCTTGAGCCCGCTGTTGACTGCGGTGAGCCTCGCCCATTGGCCGTTCTCGAGTTTGGTGTAGTTCAGCTTATTGGAGTGGATGAGAATCAGGTCGGTGTCCTCGTCGCACTTGAACTGCACGCTGGACTCACCTGAAACAACATGAGGTAACTTACTTAGAAACTCGCGATATCAGCTCATACCTCCATCACACAGTCCCAAGCTGCACCACAGTACAAACTCTCACACGTCAGGCGTCTGGTTTTTAAGATGTATATTTATTTTTTCTGGGAAATCAGTGAAAATGTCAAACACTGCATCTCTCAACAGAAAACAGAGCAAGTTCCTGCGCCCGCCCCTTCGTCCATTTTAATGTCATCATTTAATAGGTTCATCCTTGGCTCATTACCCATAATTCTACAGGAAAATTAGCTCAGTTTCATTTGAAAATCTGAATTCATGCTTCAATCATTTTAATCATTTCAGATATGTTCGGGTGCTTTTAGTGTCCTCTCACAAACCCTCAGCAGTGATCCTCTGTCACTGAGTTGTTTTTCTTTGTTCCATTTGAAAAAGCAGCTGAATTTTTTTTTTAATCTTGTTTGCACAGATCCCTAATAAAACGTTATCTTCACCTCAGAACATCATAAAATGAAACTTTATCGTGCAACAACTATCTTGTCTGCACAAGATTAAAAAAAACATATCACGCATCAGGACTCCGGGCTCCATAAAAAAAAAACTGAGGGTCCTGGTGAAGTAAAATCTCATCTGGAAAAGTAAAAAAGATTCTGTGAAGCAAAATGATGGAACCTGTAGATTTATCTTATGGCTGAAATATCGTTTGCATCAAATCACTTGTCGTTGCTATTCCGGGAAAATCAAGAACCTCAACAAATAAACAAACGATGGAAATGAGGTTTATTCCTGAAGCAACTATTCGAAATCAACATTATCTAAAAGTTCACAGAGAAAAAAGTAGAGCGAAGGAGCTTTTCTGATGAAGTTGTTGAATTTGATGTTTTGGAAATAGATTTTAACACGACAGCATTACAATGTAAAGTATCTTTACTTTACAGTAACTGATAATATAACTACCACTATTAATAATAATAATTAGATAAGAAGCAATGTGAACCTAAAAACTTTCATAAAAGACGTTTTTTAAAAAGTCTGTCCAAGTTCAATAAAAGCAAAACTGTTAATGGGACGTTCAGGTGATCAGGGAGTGAGCGTCAGATGTCAGGATCCTGATCCAGAATCCTCCACGTGTTTTCTTTTCAGCCTCTCAGCTGTGATTCATTAACCTCTCGTCAGACTTTATCTCCATCACTGTTTCATTTGAAAGAAAAGCTGCCTCACGTAATTCAACTCAAATAACAACACAACCAAAACCAACTGATTCTCACCAGTGAAGATGAAGAGGCTGGTCGTCGGGTCTTTAGTCAGTCGGGGCCACAGGGTCACGTTGTAGTGGTCCGGCACCAGGCTCTTGGGGAGTCGGTACTTGTCCCAAGCTTCGTTGGAGGGGGCGGGCGTCGGTACAGTGGGTTTGGATGTCGTCGGGCCTTCCGTCGGTAAAACCTGATCGCTGTTATTTTTAGCCTTTTCCTGCGAGTAGACGACAGACAGAGCTATGATTGTTGCCAGGGCCCCTGCACCCAGGATGACCCCCAGCACCCCAACAGCTTTACTGATGTAGAAACCTTTCCCCATGTTGTCCGTCTGTAGCGGAGACGCACTGAGGGCGAGCAGAGGTGGAAGGTGAACTTTTATAGGACACCATGGGCAGCATGTTCCCTCCCATTCACTGTAACAGGTGATACATTAACAGTGAGATATGGACCTGACACGCTGATAAAAAAGAACACAAGGTAAACAGGAGGTTTCCTGAGGTTAAGAGGAACGTTTATTAGAATTATTCATATTTCCAGAGGATTCATTTATCTCCATTCCATCCAAAATATCACCTACTTGGTTTGACTTTGCCATTTGGAACCAGGATATATAACATTTAAATATATGTACACAGATCACAGGTTGGCTGCTTTTAAAGGAGAAGTTTTAACCTTTAAGTGAAAACTGTGAGTTATAGAGGAAAAGACACACCAGCCTCGAGCTTGTGCAGTAACAGTGAACGTCCACTTTGAGAACGGCTCTGGTTCCGGGAGCAAATTGAAGATTCATTTTCTCCATTGACATTTCAGAAAGTCCTTAGTAAAAGAGTTTTAATCCTGGAACCAGGTCGACCAGCTACAGGATGGAAACTGATCATAACATTTTTGATTCAGGGCAAAGAAATGATTGGAAAACAGAAAAAAGGCGACGGTACAGGACTGTGAACATATTTATGTTGAGAGTGAAGGAACGACGCATCCCACGACCTACTGGGCATGATCCTTTCCAACGATTTGAATTTGAACCCGTTGTAGTAAGTTTTCGTCGAACGCATCACGTGAGAAGGAGAAATCCTGGATCCTCTGTGGTGAACGTCATGTAACACTGAACGATCCGATCACAGCCGACATGATTTAGAGGCACGTCTACCTTGGTTGGTTAAATTCCTATCCCTGCCGGTCGCTGATGACAGCAGCTGTTAGCGTGTTCGTTTTTCATAATATCAAAGTGTTGCTGCAGCAGCTGTAGTTTTATTTGCAAAATTACAAATGCACAGATTTAGCAAGAATATCACATTAAAACTAAACAAATAAAAATTTAGTTCCTTAAAATCAAATCAATCTGCACCAAGTTTCACACACAGATGTCAGACCTTTATTTTTCTCTGGGGAATCAGTGAAAACACTGAAACCGCACGTGATCTTGATCCGCACCAAAATATAATGAAATCTTCCTCGACTCAGCTCCCGTCCTCTCACCGAGTCCCGTGGTGAATCGTCCAGAGCTGTTTGTGTAAATCTTGTTCACAATCAAACAAATGATCAAACTTGGACGAAAACTTTTTTCCAGGCAGAGGTAAACAATTCTTATCTTTTCACGGCCGTGATGCAACAGGTTCATCAGGTTCTCGCGCCAGTAAATGAAACTTAAATTTAAAAAACTCTTGATTGAATTAAATGGGGAACTAATAAATACATCTAATAAAAGATTATCTTATCTTATCCTACGACAGGTGAGCCACTCCTTCCACAGAAGAACACGGGAGACATTAAGCTCATTGATAAAAACAGGTTAGTCTCAATCACGACTCTGCCAGTTCTCATATAATCGAATCGCTCATATCTCAAAATCATAACCTTCTTGACAGAGGTAAAACATTTAAATCTTTTAATGGTCATGATGCAACAGGTTCATCAGCTTCTCACAAAAGTAAATGAAACTTCAAACTATTTCGATTCTAAATTCCAGTGCTGGTTAAATAAAATGTGAATTCTGATTAAAAGGTTGTTTCTGAGTGAACTTACGATCAACGTGGAGCAACAGGATTCTGTCATTTAGAAATACAACAATCAGTCACAACTTAAAACCACCAACTGTGATTGTTTTTCTAATCGTCAGTGTTAATGAATTTCATTCAATGAGCTTTGAACTGGTGAAACAAAAAAAGATCATTTTGAATTTCTGGCTTTGAAACTCTTTATTGTCATCATGCTCAGGTAACATGAAGTTGATAAGAGGATCCTCCCTCTAAGACATATTTATATACAGGTGTAATAAATATATAGAAATAAATAACTTCAGTCAAAGGAAATTATTCAAGTGTCAACCAAACTATTTGTAAATTAAATAAATACACCGTGAACTACACTTCAGATTTCTACGTCCCCTGAAAACAGTAGTAGACTAAAGGAGAAACTGTGTAAAAATTAAACACCACAAGTGGCTGAAATATTTCCTTGAATTAAAAAAACTCATTTAAGAAAGTACATCATGAATCTGAATCAACTGCACATTGAAACGATAAAGTATTTTACTCGTTTATGTTTCTTACATGGCTGATAACACTAACGTTGCTCCTCTCAGTCTCCAGGTAACCTTCGAGTCATTTATCTCGTGATTCTGTAGTTACACTTTAACAGAGGGGCAGTTTAGAATAATCCCACCACTACAGGAACATCCTTTTATGGCGGCGCAGCTGTGAAGCACATTTGAAGAAACTCTCTTTCAGCCCTGCTCGACACCTCGGCATTTCCAAATCCACCCTCTGTCCTCTCATCATCATTTCAGAGATGACGTTCGCTTCTTGTTTTGCAACAGCTGGACTTTGGCAGCGCATGATGTAACTTGAAAATCTCAAACTCTTTCAATCGTGATGTGGAAAAACAGTTTCATGTTATTCAGTCACTTCACTCGATTTTCACTCTTGTTTCCCGACACGATCCAGACGCACCGAAGTCCGTCAACAGAACACATGAGAAAAACAAACGCAAGCTCGGACGATAGTTTGCTCGGCCTTCATCAGATGAAAATATCCTTCAGCCTCTTTTAGCTCCTTGTTTTTTTTTAATCCTGCTTTTCATGTTCTGCAGCGAACAGAGAGAGTTAGCGACTGACATGATGATGACAGGCAACCAGGAATGTTGTGTATTCAGTTTGATTCGATGCGACCCAGTGGTTAAAACATTTAGCTGACACAGCTTTAAAAAGGCAAGAATGCAGATAAAAGTGTGACGTTAATGTTTGAACACACTAATATTAACAATTAACACAGCGATAAAAGTGTAGAATTTAAAAACATGACTTTGTCTCAGAAACTTGTACTTCCTGATTCACTTGCAGCTGTGGAATCTTTATTTCATTATATTATTTTATTTACAACAGTTCATGCACAATATCTTAAACTTTAAACCAAAACAAACCAACGCAAAATATTCACAACGTTGGAATAAAATCACTATTTGAGTTTGGATTTTTTGCAGCATAGCATAATCGTTGGGCATAAATATTGTGCATTATTTCTAAATCACAATTTATGATAGAAGATTATTTATGCTGCAAAAATCTAATTCATTCATTCTCACTAATTTCTTAAAAAAAAAAAAAATCAAAGCTAAATTATTATTAAACATATTTCCTGCGGAGTATTTCCATAAAATCCCATCGACTCCATGTAGACGTTAGAATCTCATTCATTCCTGTTGCTCTGGTTTGTGAAACCACAGCAACAGGTTTTCTAACGTCTCCTCCCTGACAACATATTGACCCCGACGGCTCAGATTGTTCGAGGTTCTCACTGTGGAGAAAACAAAGTTTTTAGTGGCCGGGGTCATCTGCTGTAAAGCCGAGAGGGGAAAATACAGCTGGCGGTCAAAGATTTATCTCACATGACTGAAACTCCCCTCCGAGATAAACAGAGGCATTAAAAAAGCCTGAACAACATGTCCGAAGCCTCGAGGTTATATAAGATGTAGATAAGTGAATTTGTTGCAGTGGAATCCGGTAAACGAGAGAGAGAGTAACGTGATGACACAACAATAAGCCTGTAAAATATCACCTTGGCTATTGTGACGCTATCTCTGGCCTTGTGTTTATCGCTGATCTGATAAAAGCATCTGTGACTGTGATGTTCAGATCAAAGTTGAGACAGGAGTTCATTGACTGTGCAGACGCTGAGGACGTATTATTCACTGTGGACGAGTTTGCGACAGAGGATCTCGAACAACTCACATTTAAAAGCAGCGTGCAGTTGTTAAAGGTCCAGCCCGTAAGATTTAGGTGAAAGGGAACTATTGGCAGAAAATGGAGAATAATCCTCATGATGTTTTCATCTAAATTGTAGTTTTCTTTAGCCCAGAAAAGGCCCTTTAAATATAAATACCTTATATTTAAATACTTTATATTTAAATACTTTAAATTTACATCGAGGGGTGTTTTTTACATTAGTCCAGACTGGACGACACCTTTTGAGTTTTTACGACAACTGAAGCTACCACAGGTTCTTTCTCATGTTTGGAAGGAGAGACATTCAGCTGCAACATGCAACTTCAACACTAACACAAAATCCAACACACTGCACCTTGAAGGCTGTTATTCTGCCATCTGTAGCTTTACTTCCGCAGCGGATAGAGTTTCATCAGTTATCTTGAAGAGAATCTGAACACTGACAAACAACTAGAATAATAAGTCCCTATCTGTGCACGTGCAGTCCTGTTAACACTACTGCTATTTTTATAATAACTTATGTATGTTTGTGCGTCGTGGGAGGAATAAAAGATCATCTTATCTTATCTTATGATAATGACGGGTGAGCAACTCCTTCCACAAACGAAGGAGGTATAAAGCTAGATAAGAAAAACAGCTGGGTAACAGAAGGTTAATCCCAAAGACTTCATTCGATCTGCTCACACGACCCGTGGTCCGACCGCCACACGGTGACCACAGAGAGCGGGGGGGGGGGGTAGGTTGCAGTGGCTGCTTGACACAACTAAAGGAAGTTTAACAAGGTCTGATTTAAAAATGCTATTAGCTGCATTTGCATCTCCACAAGAGAGAAGTTCAGTTGGATTGAGCTGCAAATGTTAAATTCAGCAACTGTCATCTCAGCGACATGGAGATTAACATTAACTTGATTGTTCAGTCCGCATCACACGTCTGACCGTGGCGTCAAAGTTTGATGATTTGCCAAAAAAAGGGGATTCACTGTGATAAAGGACTTTTTAACTCTACTGTGCATCTTTCAATCACCACCCAAAGGATCTTTCCTGGAGTGTCTTACCTCTGCATCTTCGTCCTCAGATTTTGTCAAGGCCCTGGATGCACAGGCCACCGGTTCCCAGTGTTCCCCCTCAGCCTGCAGGAGAACCGCACCGACACCATGTGTCGAGGCGTCAGTGGACAACGGTATCCTGCTTGTGTGGTGGTCAAACGTCAGCACGGGTGCAGCGGTCAGTGAGTTCTCGAGCTTTGGCCACTAATGCTAATGTTTGGATGCTCGTTTAAAAACAGTCATCGTGTGGGAGCTCACAGGTGCATGATGTTTGAGAAGTCAGACTGGAGAGTGGACCCTCCCCGTGACGCGTGGCACACCCGTCTCCTCTGGGCCCTGGTATGTTGTGTGTTTGAACCTCTTTATTTACAGTCTATGATTGGAACACGTCGTGCTGAGAGTTTGTCTCTGAGTATTTCCTGCACATTGACTCCTGGTGAGTTTCAGTCCCTTCTCTGTTCAGCCTCTCACTGTGCTCCTACAGCCCCATATGATGTCACCAACGGAGACTCCATTGGATCCATTGGATTCATTTTCACAGAGATCAGGATCATCCACATGATCAGGTTAGAAATCTTCCTCCTCTGTCTCAGTTCAGCTCAGTGGATCGTTCCTCGGTATCATCGCTTACTAAAGGCGGGGCACAGTGTCGACCCGCAGCGCCCCGCAGCGCCCGCAGGTAACGGCCCCGCCCACCTGTGCGGGGCTCACTCCCGCCATCGTGCAGACGGAAACACGTGTCTGTCGCGGGTCTCGAACAGTGAGCGTCACCATCCTCTTGGCTGTAGAACTTGTTAAGAGTTTCTACGGCCTGTGGTTGTTGTTAGCAGCGGTGCTAACCTCCTAGCATCCGGCTCTGTGTCCCCCCCCCCACAGGTGGAGCCGCTGATTGAAGGCGCGTCATTTCCGGTCGACGTTCCCCGTCAGATTCAAACTGTCCGGTAACTCGGGTGGTTTTTCTCAGTTTACACCTGGAACCACGTCACGTTCGTGTTTAAGAGGTGGAGGCTTAGTTTAAGTCGCAGCTTAACTTCATTACATGATGCATTCACGTGCATCTGAGACTCTTCTTAATCTAAAACTGGTTTTAAACTGGTTTTAAGCTGGATTCTGACTTTTCCCGACGGACGCGAAGGCAGCGGTCGCCATAGAAACGAGACGCCAAACATTAGAAGAACCCGGAAGTAGGATCTTGTGTGTCTCTGTGGTTTCAGTTGTGTTCAGAGTTTGTGTTCAGGGTTTGATTCTGGAGGCTGGTTCGGTGTCTGTGCAGCAGAATGCCTCTGCTGGTGTCGGATCACTCCTGGACTCAGACCGACTCCACTGTTCACATACACGTTCCTCTGAGAGGAGCCACAGCTGAGAGAGTGGACATCGTCTCCACAGACCAGTACATCAAGGTGAGCTTTCTATCTATCTGTGGTTTTTTATTTATCTGTCTATCTATTCTTCTCTGTGTGGATTTCCTCAAAAATCGTGACGTGAACTGAACTTAATTTTCTCTGGGATAACAAATGTTGACTCAGGTCCGAAACCTTAAGAATCGTTAAAACCTTTGTGACAAATCGAGCTGATAAATATCCGAACGACCAATTATCTCACATTTAGTTACGACGAACACAAAGTTGTAAACATGTTAGAACACACTTTTTTATGAGCATGTGATTGGATAAACCAAGAAAGCATCATTAAGTGAAATGTCTACACTCACATGGTTGCATTTTATAAAGTGGAGATACAACGATAAAGGTTTTAAAAGAGGGTTCGATGTTTCTCTTTATCGATGAAAGGTCTTCCATGTTCTTCACAGGTGCATTTCCCCCCATATCTGTTTGAAGCCTTCCTGCTGGAGCCTGTCGACGATGACAGGAGCACAGCAAAGGTGGGAAACGGAGTCGCAATCCTCAATTTGACGAAGAGAGACAAGAAGGTTTGGAATCACCTGATGATCGACACAGGTGAGAGCATCCAGCTGATCTCGTTGACGTTTCACAAAACTGTGACGTCCTCCGTTTCCACCCTGGATCGAGTGATTTCAATGGTTTCGCGAGCAGACTGTTATTCAAGTAACAAGCTTTTTTACTTTGCTTCAGAGGATAAAGCCAAAAAGAAGGAGATCAGAGAACAAGCTCTGTTGAAATACCAGGAGAAGCTTTCAGCAGAGTCCAGATCCCAGAAGGAGAAGAAGCTCGCAGAGAAGAAATATGCACTGGAGACGATGATGAGGGTAAAATATCTGCTCATACATCTCGTCGCCAGGCGTCCACGCTGAAATATATCAGGACTTTTTATGTCATCGTCTGTTTTAATTGATCACAGCTCGACAAGGAGGAAAGAGACAGCGTCCAGAAAACGAAGGACGCTGAGCGAGCGAGAACCACGGCAGAGCTGGAAGCATGGCAGCGGACACAGAAACAACGAGCAGAGGAAGAAGCTGAACTCCGACGTCAGAGAGACGATCAGAACAACCTGAAAGCGTTGACCGAGAAGACAGGAGCTGAAGGAAATGTTCAACCCGGTTTGTAATTTTCCTATTTGATTAAATTTGTGCCAACTTTCCTTTGTTGGGTTTATTATGATAAGTTTGTTCCTGTGTTCAGGTCGGAGTGGCGGAGAAGTGAAGCGYCAGAAGAAACGAGCGGACCTTCCCGCTCCGAGATGCACGGGAAACATTCAAGTCACGTTCACCCCGCGAGTTTTTCCAACAGCCCTCAGAGAGTCAAGAGTTGAAGAGGAGGAAGAGGTGAGTCCTCTTTCATTACCTCCCCGTCTGGTCGTGAGGCTTTCCGACCTGCACTGAACTCTGGGTAATCTCCTGAAATCAGCCAGAGGAGCTGCATGTGAGAGCTCACACAGAAAGACCAGTAGGGATTCGAACGGGGAGCCATCTTGCCGGGATGCGACTAACCACCGCGGCGCCGTCCACCACTCGGCCTCGACTCTCAGTTCTTCTGCCGGCAGGATGTTTCTGTGGCGTCTGTCCCATAATGCATCTATTAATCATCCTTCACGAGTCCTGGCACGGACTTTTTATTTCTCTGTGGACTTTGTAACGTGTCTCATGAAGACATGTCTTGAAAGATGTCTCTGTGCTAGCTAATGTTTGGATGCTTCGTGTTTTCACTTCATAACCATCAGTGGCTCAGGAAACAAGCTGAAGCCAGACGTGCAGTGAATGCAGATGTTGAAGAGCTTAAAGACCTGAAGGAGGAGGACAGGAACCCCGACTGCTTAAAGGACAAGGGAGAGTAAGTGAAGCCTGTTCCCTTCATACAGAATCTCCTCTACATATTTAACAGCACTTGTGTTTCTCTTACTCGTCTGAACCGACTCTTTCAGTAAATATTTTGCGGCCGGGGACTTCCTGAGTGCAGTCAACGTCTACAACCTGGCCATCAAGCTCAACAGGCAGATGCCGGCTCTGTTTTCCAACCGAGCCGCGTGTCATCTGAAGTTAAGGAATCTACACAAGGCCATCGAGGATTCCTCCCAGGTCTGTAGCGTCTGTTCTCCACCGCACGTTCCAAAGAACATCCAACCAAAGCTGCACGCTGGTGTCTCTACCTGATCACTGCTGTGTGGGACGCTGCTGTAAATCTGCTCCTTATATTCCACGACAGTGTGTGGACATTCAGTCTCAACACAATCACGTGCACCACTGTGAAATGTGCCTGAGGTGTAGAAGAAGAAATACAAGACTAACCGAGAACCAAAAACAAACATGGTTTGTGTGTTAGTTAGTTAGTTAGTTAGTTAGTTAGTTAGTCTGTTTGTCAGCAGGATTACACAGGAACTACTGAACTGATGGTTCAGCTGATGTAGAGCAGCTGTAAACATCTGCTCACGTTTCTCTGCAGGCTCTCGATCTGTTGACTCCACCGGTCACTGCCAACGCTGCTGC